ATTTATTTTAATACGCCAGTTATATATTTATACATTTATTTCCAATAATGATAGGTTTGGTCCTGCATACATTTGAGCCTTTTCAGTAAATCTCATCTGTTTTAGTTATTTTACAATGATTTTTGGACTTTTTTATTCCCCTTTTCTTGTTTTTCTGGTCATTTCTGCTACTTTTAGCTTATTTTTGTTCATTTTAGCTATGTTTACGTGACTTGACTCCAGCATCTTTCAGAAAAAGCCTTTCAACTATAAACATTCACACTGCATTTTTGGAAGTTATTCTCAAGTTATTACTTTTTAATTCCTACATGCTGCTGTGCTTTAAGAAATCAAGACATCAAAATAAACAAACCTGATGCAACACAGCCAATAAAAGTTTTTGTTGAAATACTCTGAATGTACCTTCTTTAATGAGCTCATTAGAGACAAAGTAAAGTCTATGAATGTGTATTCTCATGTTCAATGTTATGAGAGTGGCAGTATAGTTTATGGCTTGCATGGCCCCTCATACAATGTACTGTCTATACTTATATACACACATAATATATTTACTCTCAATATCTATAATGGATTGAGTTCTGGCTATTTTTGCATTTGGCTAATCTTTTATGAAGCCCTAATACTTTTTACTAAACAACACATAAGCTGAGAAAAACAACAATAAAAGCTGAAAACACACAGCATATATCAAGGTTCAGAATTAAATTCCAACCAAAGCTTAGCACAGAGATTTACTGACCAAGCCTGCGTTTCACTACTCTGTGGCTCTCAGAGCTCTCCTCTTATCTTCTTTTGTTAAATGGATGATTTTCATTCCTGTCGACGGGCCCATTTCAATGGCAGGTTGATGCAATTAGGTAAAGTGGTTGAATACAAAGCGAGCTCTTCTCTAAGCTCTGACTACTGTGGGTCTAACCTTCACTGCTCTTAAAAAAATACAACAAAAACCTCTCATGTACTACAGCGAGTTCAGTTTAGGAGAAGCTGCTTCTGATTGAATCATGTAAAAAAAAACGCTCCTGCGTGAACATGGAAATGTCAAATCGAGGCAGGGATTGAATTTGAAAGGACTGTTAGAGAACATCCTTCAGACTTGGATCAAGTCTGTAAATGAAAACATTTTTTAGAATGTAGAGGAAAACGAAAAGACCAATCACTTGTTGCTTTCATTTCCACCTGATTCACTGAGGTCTCGGCGCTGGAACGACCTTGCTCTCCTCACCCTCTTCATCTTCATCAACGTTGTCGTAACCACTGATGCACAATGCAGCCTCTTGGGCTGAAGTGTGCCTGAAAGACGAACTCAGCTGAAGTTAAGCAGACTACAGAGCAGAAACGTCGGTCTCTGCTCCCGCTCTGGCTTTAATCACTAGAATGCAGCGGAGAGCGCCTTAATGGGATTCAGTGTGAGGGTCGGCTGTTGCTCTGTGAATGACAATACTGCTGCTGGCTTATGAAAAAGACTGTTGACAGTCAGGTAGCGGCGGAGCAGTGGCCGTGAATGCAGAGCAGGGAGCTTCACTGAGGCTCGGCTTTGATCTGCTGGATTGTAATGTGGTCGAAGGTAATGATGTCAAACTGAGCGATGAGCTACTGTACGTCAGCAGGAGTCAGCCTCGTGTCAAAACAACAACAAAAAACTTCCTGCAGCTGAGTTTCAGCCWGTTAGCAAAGAGGTCAAACTGAGTTGAGAAAGTTTAAGATCATTCTATTGCCCAAGTTATTGTTTACAAAGTTTAAACTCAAAATCACTTAAAGTCTTTTTCATATACCTTATGGAATTTAACATTGTAGTTGTTTTAAGGTACAAAGCTATTACAATAGGCTGTTACAATAATCTAAAYAAGAAGAAATGAATGTGTGAATAATCATCTCTATTTCCTTCTGTCACAAAATATCTCTATGACTATCAAAAGTCAAGGAACTGTCAAAAGATGACACCCAAATTCCTGTGAATGCTTTTCACAGAAAGAGTTAAAAAAACAAGATGATGCCTGATGAAAGGAATTTTATCCTCAGGGGCAATAACAAGAGTCTCAGCCTTGTTCGCAATTAACTGCAGACATTTGTTGTTCGGCCAAATTTTGACATCTGACAGAAAGTGAGTTCAGACAGTTTATCAATCTCCAARGTTCAAAAGGAACAAAACAATTGTATGTCATCAGCATGCAGTTGAAATGACACATTACTGTAACCTTTTAGAACATCCACTAAATGGTATAAAATAAAAAAGAAGAAGATTGGGCCTAACACTGAACCTTGTGGTACCCCACAAGACGGCAATGCATCAGAGTAAACCTCATTCAAAAAACAGTGAAATACTATGTTAGGGAYATGTTTGTTTTGCTTGCAAAGCTTTATGTAATTCACCTGTCCAACCATCTTRTCAGTATACAGTATTAGTATCTGCTGCTCTACAAACAGCCTGTGACCCAGAAACAGAAAAGGAAAGTTTTGTATTTTTACCGTAAGCAGAGTCGACAGCAGACTCCTGGTTCCGTGTCGTCGCCAGCACATCAGCTGCACAAAAAAATAAATAAGAAAACCAGTCAGATTCCATAGTGATGCAACACATTTACCTCAATAACAGCCTTGCACCAGTTTATATAATCTATTATTTAATGCATTACTTGCATCATGTGTATTTATACGATGAGACTTGTCCCAGTTCTCACTGTTTTTTTATTAGTGTCCTAAAACATTAATTAGATCATGAGCTTTAAGGGGTCCAAACATGATCACCAGGTTATACATTATGCACATCCTGGGCACCTGGATAGATCTCATCAAACACATGAGGGACAGAGGGGGGTTTATGTGGTCGGTCACTGTTTTAACAGCAGCTATTCTTGTCACACTTTCTCCAATTATACCAGGATTCCCATCCTGTCTGGAAAGAGCCGTTGCTTTAGAGACCAGAATATGGGACTAAAAAATCAGTATGCCACCAAAAGCACAACTTCTATTAAAGTCTATATGAAATCTTACTCCATCCTTTTTTACAGACACGTCTCTGTGCCAGCCTTTAGTTCAGTTTATATTAAACTTCCTGCGCTGTGGGAAGAGAAATAGAATAAAATGCAGAAATAGAGATTTATTTTTGGAGAGATGGAGGAGAAAACGAATGAAACACGGTCTGGATGCTGAGAAACAGCTGAATATATTTGGTCATTTAACTGAGAGATATCTGGCAGATCTACACAACTCCGGGGAGTGTTTGTGCCTTCAGGTGTTAAATCCCCAAGGARGACCTGGAGAAATAGGTGGCAAGTTATCAGGATCATGATGCTACTTTTCTAAGACTGCTGCCACTAAGCCCTGATTCGAAATAGATAATGACAATTACATAAAAAAATAGAAAAAATGTTCTTGGGTGTAGTAGATTATTTTTTCAGAACATAATACTTTTGTTTTTCTAATACCAGTGCTCTCAAAAACCAGGATGTGCAGAACCAAACCACCCTTATCTCATGACTAAAACTTACAAAMCCCAGAAGCAAGATTGCAACATCTAGATAAACATACACCAAGTTTGTATTTTGTTATTTTACAACTTTTACAACTTCTTTATATAAAATTTAAACTTTTACTAGTGTTTTATTATGGTTGTACATAGACAKAATTCTCTTACTGTGACAGCTGTTGGAGTCAAACAAATGGTCACCTTCGATGTCCTGCTCAAACCCTGCCCTGCAGAGACAAAAATAAATCAATTTGAAATTAAAAACAAAGAACATATTCTTTTAATTAGCAGTGCGAAGAAGCTTGTGCCAAGAGATCTTGAGAAAATGAGATGTCAGGAATTCTTTTCAAGTTGAAAAATGCCTCATTAGCACTTCCAAAATAAACCCTTCTAATGACCATCTGGTGAAATTAGCCCTGATGATGTCGTCACTACTTTGAATCARTGAAACAGAAAGAACAGTCGCTAGGACCAATATGGTTATAATGTCACCCCCAAGTCATGASAGCAGCTTCGATAACCAGGTAAATAATTTTCCTTATTTTCCAACAGAAAAACTGATTCAAAAGAAGACATAAGAAACAAATATGTATTTTATTTAAAAGATATATGCGATGCCAGACAGTTGAGATTGTGGCAAAAAAAATTCTTAAAAATATTGTTAAAAATATTTTCTCATTCCTGTGAACCCAGTATCTTATCTTGTGATGCGAGTTCATAACATATCAGAACTATAGGACAGCAAGTGTAAAATAAAACGTTTAAAAATGTCACTAACACATTTTCATTATTTCGCTCACTTTGAGTGTAAAATCCTATTTTTTTTCCACTAACAYACATGAAGTGCAACTTGAACACCAGCCGCAACTGCAAGTTTGCAATGTTTTGTAGGGATAAGTTAGCAAAATGACCAGTGTTAGCAGAACTAGCAGAGTTAGCAGTGTTAGCAGAACTAGCAGAGTTAGCAGTGTTAGCAGAACTAGCAGAATTATTAGAGTTTTACACTCAGAAACTGAGCTAAACATTGAAAAATGTGTTACTGACACTTTTTAACATTTTATTTCACACTTGGCACCCTGTAAGAACAAGCTTGGTGCTTTTATCTTGTTGAYTGCTCTGGATTTCCTGGAAATTTTAGCCACGATGAACATCCAGAAATGCAGAATAACAACTTAAGATGTTTAATTAGCCATGCCCAATTGTTCATGTCATCATTTACTTTAAAGGCCAAACTATTCCAAAGGTCAACTGAGGAGAAGCAGCAAATGTATTCACCTTCTTTCTGTCCTCCAATTAAGTGGAAAAAAAGGTGAAACTTGTCCAACCAGGAGACAGACTGCGACAAGAGGTGAGCATGAAAAACACTCACACACCCTGTCAGCAGCAGGAACGTGAAGCCATTTACCCTCCTCTGAGTGTGTACGGCTCGGGGATTAAGTCCCTGTTGTTTACTGGCTCTGCCTTTGTCGCCACCGACGTTTCCATCTGACCTTCAAATCAAATTTAAAAGCGGGCCACAAATCAGGATTTCACAGCCGCGTGGCGCAAAACGACTGCTGTGGAACTGCAGCGCTGGAGATGAGGCTCACTTTGTTCTGACTGCTCACCTGCTCCAGGCGAGAGAAATCATTTAACTGTTAGAAACAGGAAGATAAAGCTCTGCAAATGCTTTAGTGGCTGTTTTACTTTAGCAGAAGGCAGAGGCAGGTTTTGTTCTTTAATCTTAATTTAACTCTCTATACAGGAAGTTGTTTTAATTAAGCCAATTAAAAAATCCCTAATGCTCTAACAACATTACCCATCAGTGCAGTTTAATGCCTTAATGCTAAGAACATAAACATTATGCTAAAATGCAAAATTATTGCATGGTTTTAGGATTTACTGTTTCAGTCATAAATTACTAAAAAGCATCAAGGTGGGAGTCTTAAAATCTAAAATATGGGGATTTTTTAGTGAATGTTTGACTGGAATAAAAAGTAGTGACTTCCTAGAATTTTGGACAACAAAAACGTTTAATGGACTATTATTCAAACAGCAAAAAAACAAGAAAAGTGTTGTTTTTAATTAAAAAATGTTTATATCATTGGTTTGAACCAAAAGAGAAACAGAAGTATGGAAACCACCAGTTTATTTGCATTTTTACAGCAATTATATGCATCTTTTTTTCTTTTTTGTAAATAAATAGACAAAAAGTCCCATTCATTCATTTTGACATAATCACAAGTTTAAATAAATGTATTTAATGGATTTCATTCAAGTATTTTCCCCATCTTTGTATTTATAAGCTTGATCTTTTGGACTCACCTTCCATTCAAAATCAAAAGAAACATTTGGCAACGATCCTCTGAATCGCCCGAAAGAATAAAACATTGAGAGGAAGTTGACAGGATGTTTCTGGAGGTTGTGGATTATATTCTAAGGGAGCATATGAGAGAAAGAAAGAAAAAGTACTTTTTTTGAGCTGCTCTGATTTGTGACAGAGCCATTCATTGCTCTGATGACATTGAGCTCATATCCTTATTTGTCAGGAAGATTGTGCTTTTTATAATCTCGTTCTGCCTGCGCTGACAAAAATGTTTTGTCCCACCAAGATGAAAGAAATCATTTGTTTGATGAAACTAAAAAGAAAAAAAATAAGCTGTTACTCTTTGGTTTCCATTCATTGACATTAGTCTATATTTCTATCAGTCTGCATGTTTCATTACTTGCAGTTGTTTTAACCTTATTTTTTATTAAAAATGTTTACAGTTTGCCTCTTGTCTCCCACTGCTTCATAAAAATCACTTTTCCCCTTCATCCACCTTCCCTGATATCTCTCAGTTGAATCAGATTCCTCTCACCCTTGTTTTCTTTTTGCACCTCAGCAGATTTAGTGGTGTGATGCTGCAATCAAAAGTTAGTGGCTCGGCAGACTGCACTGGCCAAAAAAAAGGGTGAGCACAAATGCCCGTTCACACACCAAATGTTGTGTTACAAAGAACCAAAGCATGGCTAAGATGCTGGTGTTCTGCCATAATCAATGCATCAATAAGAATTTACTCTTTTTGACTTTAGTCTAGAAAATAAAATCACAAAAAACATGATTTAAAATAAAAGTACACAAGGATATCATACATAAACTAAAATGTAAATTTTATCACAAATTTAAGAAAAAATTCTACTGGTAGTCAAGCTACAGCAATAAAACCTCACCATATTGTTACACAAGGACAGTATGTTTAAGGGGCAGTGGGGATGTAACACATTAAATTTCCATTTAGCTTCATTTTCAGCAGCAATGCTCTACAGCTGAAGTTGCTCTGATTTGATTGCTTTCATAATGAAGTTTGCATTTACTGCCTCAAGTGTTAAAAGAATAAATCACAGGATTTCCATTTAAGTGTTCGCGGAGTTCTACTCGAGTAACTTTAAGACATTATACTAGTTTAAATAAAACATTCAATAAAAACAACAAAACATCCGGAGTGGATCTCATATGTTAGTTCAGCAGGTTTCTGACAATTATTAGAGAATCTCTTTGTTTTCTGATGGTTTTGTGATAAACAAATTTAAAAAGAGTTTAAAAATCATATTTTTTTCTATTAGATATGTTTTTATATGTGTGTTAAATGACATGAACCTGAGTCAAGGTCAGACATTTTCAAACTTGACTTCATATTCTGATTTTTGTCTGTACTGGAATAAAAATTGGCTTCATTTATTATAAAGTCACGAGTCAAATAAATTCATATTCAAATTCATAAAATAAATCCACAGTTTTCTCATGTCAATGGTAATATAAACACAATTTTAAGTTGTTAAGCTATAAAAACAGCCGAAATGACTGAAAATAAGTCAACAATGTAAAGGTCCATTGGCGAGACATTTGGGAATGAGATGTGTGACAGTTTTGATGTTAGTGTGCATTTATGCACAGATTTGTTGGTAAAGTATGTTAGTGTTGTGTAAGAGTGAGCTTAAGGTGAATTAAGCTYTTCCCACATCTCTCATACACAAGGTTATGAGGAAACTTTTACCAATGTATTTCTCATTACTTGTTAATATCTTGACTGTGCGAAGTGAAAAGTGACACAATAAGTGAACGTTCAGACGAGTTCAAGTTGATTCATAAAAGACTATGCAATCATTTATTTACACAAATTGAACATATCATGAGTTACACTTGATTGTGGTCATTCTTATAACAAGCGTCAGAGTTAAGAGATAAAACCCACGTCCGAATTTCAATTCACATCAACTCAGATTACTTATATAGAACAGTAAAACATCAGTTCTGATGTCAACAACCAAACAATTTTACTGGCACTTTTAGCTTAAGTTTTGGAAAATTAAGAACAAGGAAAGGAGGAAAGTAAGATTAGTATGTTACTACGATTTTTACTTTTATCAAAGTGTGGGTGAACCGGAACTGCACGTCTTTTCTAAGCTCAGGTTCCAAATGGCACGTCACTCCGAACACATCAGCTTTTACCTGATGATGTCTTCTTAAGGCACCCTCAGGGCAGGAGCTGGCTCGCCTCCGATCAGTCAGGGAACTGATTTCGGCTCACTTACTGGTCATTGGCGAACAGGTGTTTTTCCAGGTAACTTTCGTCTGTTTCAGTCCAAGCCAGAAAAATTCAAGCCGTATCCAGTTCCTCCTTCCAAAATAAAATCTCCCCTCGGGAGTTAAAAACACACTTAGAGGCTCGGCCTCGGGTTGAGACCACCGGCAGGCGTGCCGGGTCCTGGCTGTGAAGTCTTCCCTAATTAGCTCATGGGATCAGACTTTAAGCCAAACTGAGGTTTCTCCGGAGAGAATCCCAGCTGTCTTCCTAGGTTGGAATCAGGAAGAAGAGTGTGTTGCTCAAAGCCGTCCGGGTTAGTAAAAGAAACGGATGAACTTTGGTTCCGCCCTCAGGCTTAGAGATGAGTCTGAGAAAGAAAGATAAAGGATTTGCCAGCCGGCGCCAGCCCAAGGTTAAAATTCTGTGGTTGTCCAACAACATGATATGATAACCTCTTTTCTGCTTTCTTCTGACAGACTTTAAGAGAAATCACTGCAAAATATTTATGATGATTAATTAACATTTGTTTTATAATCAGCTTTGAACCATTCTGTTAGTCCAGATAAATGAAAGATTTTCTCAGGAAAAATCCACAATTATATTACTGTGTTCACAGTAAAATAAAAACAGTGACTTACATAAAAACACAATGAAAACATTGTAATCAGATTCTCTGTGAC